ATGATGTATTATCAGTGGGAGGGGCTCCCTTTCCTGCAAAACAAAGTGAAAAAACAAAGCAAATTTGAGAGCTTCCTTCTCTACTTTAACAGATTCTTACAAAATGACTAACCTCTAGTGAATGTATGATAACTTCTTGACCGTTCTCTCCTCCTACACTGCAGTCAGGTCGTCTAAAAGTCATAAGCGCTGCTAACGCAGCAATATTTGCAGCATCAACCAAGTTCCTATAACAAAGACGAGTGATAAAAACATAAATAAGAGATCATTTTATAACCAGAACCTTCAATGAACATTACAGTAAACAATAAAACCTACCCTCCATTGTCCAAGATATGAAGATCAATGCGAACAGACCAGACCTTCTTTCCAGCTAGAACACAGAGTGACTCTGTATCTACCGCACGGCTTTCTCTGCAACCAATACATTGACCAATCTACAATTACTATTTACTCCAACCAAACAAACCAGATTGTTTCAAATAAAGATTTACCTTAGACCACGGTCTATAATACGTCCCAGTTCCACAGCAGATTCGCCAGGACGACCAGGCTCGAAGGATGGATCAGCCATAGGAGAAAACTCAGTGAAGATAGATAGAGAGCCTTCATTAGGTCTGTCCTTGTAAGGTTGTACTAACTGAGCAGTCACAAAACCCATCACATGAGTGTGACCAAGTTGAACTTCTGAGCTACCATATTCTCTGTTAATTCACACAAAATGAAAATCTCTTTAGACAATAAAAAAACATAGTTCACAAAGCCCATCACATGAGTGTGGCCAAGTTGAACTTCTGAGCTACCATATTATCTGTTAATTCACACAAAATAAAATTCTCTTTAGATAAGAAAAAAAAATATATAGTTCAAAAATAGACAACAAATCGACCCTAGCCGAAACGATGTTCTTAAATCCGATTTCTACAATTTAAATCGGTTTAAACTATGCTCTAGTTAGGCCACAAATAACCTGCCTAGTCGATAATTAGACAATTAAATTGATCTAAATTAGTTTAAATTGATCTATACTATAGATTCTATAGTAGTTTTTATTGGAGCAACATTAGTTTAATTTATATCTAAATTGATCTAAATTAGTTTCTATAGTAGTTTTTATTGGAGCAACATTAGTTTAATTTATATCTAAATTGATCTAAATTAGTTTAAATTGATCTATATTAGTCAATAATTCATTAATTCCTATGCCCTAGTTAGGGTTTGAATAATCCACCTAGTCAGTAATCCTTTAGAGTCTAGTTACGGCCTAGCAAAAAAACCATCATCAAGGATACAAAGGGAGAAGCAATAGAAGATTAAAAGAGACTCTTCTGTACACAAGCAAAATGCATCAACTACATTCAAAATTATCACAAAAACCCACAAGAAAAGTTGAAGTCTTTCTGAGCTAAAATAATCAGAACCTTAGAAGGCTTCAAAATGCAGACATAGTATCCATTAAGTGAACAAGTTAAAGAGACACTTACTTGCCAAACTTAATAGTAAGCTTGCGGTAATCATAAAGACCACGACCATCTACTCTTAGCTCAGACTGCAAAGCAGTCTCCACGAACTTACTTTCGTTCACAGTCAACCTCCACATATTAGCTAACCTCCCCTCCATTATTTGCTATCACTAAAAAACACTTTTCCAGAAAATAAAATAAAAGTCGAAACTTTAAGTTCACTTGTTATGATTTAGAGTCTAAACCTTAGAGACAAGACTACATATGATTAAAGATAAAGATAAGGGTTTTACCGTTTATGCCTTTGCAAGCGAGAGAGAGAGAGACCCTTTGTAGATACGGTGGCGCTCGGCGGCGACTGAGAAGAAGGTTTTGAGGAGAAACGACGTTCTGAGAATATGATTATAGGGCTCTTCAATTTTTAGGCCCGGCCCAATAGGATATGGGCCTTTTTGAGATTCACGCTGATTGTATTTTGGGCTTTTCGGAATAGATTTTAATGATGTTGTAAGCCCGTTTGTTTGGAATCTTTCAAATATCTTACTGTTTATTTTATTAATTTTGTTAAAATTAAGATAAATCTTTACTCTTTTAGGGTTTGATGGTCTTCTTATATATAGTCTTTTAAGTTTATGGTTATATTCAGTTTTTGATTTATTAGTAAAAGTTGAGAATTTTTTCTTTGTTCTTTGTTGTCGATAGATATTTGTGATTATCACAGTTTTCCGATTATTCTCATAATCAACGGATCACTAATTATGTCTTATAAAGTTTCTCTAGATGAATCGAATTTTAGTGATATGTATTATTGTCTTTCTCACATTCAAGTTCATATTAGTAACAACAAAATTATTCTGACATTTTTAGTTTGGTATAACTCCAAAATAATGTTTATTGATTTTTATACTTTTTATGTTTGTAAGTCGGCTTGATTTTTGTAACAAAATTCATTACCTTCTGTGATACATTGATTGATGAGGGTTTTGGCTAAACCATTGTCAGCTTAGTCTAGAAACTCATCTTCATCTTTTGTTATAAGCATCAAGCAATAAACTAACCACTGATTACTTTCTTTTTTTGACAAAAAAAATAATAATTAACCCATTGATTACTTGAGAAAAAGGTAATTGTCATCTTATTTTGGTTTGTTTACTCTTACTCTATTATGGAGGAGACAAAGTTTGGCATAAACTAGAACTTGATAGAACTCAAAACCAAGGTTACAGTCCCAATCTGATCTTAGAAATGTCTATGTTTGCTTCACGTACGCACACAACTATAGAGAAGGAGACAACCTAATCATATGTTTCAATCTCTTGTTTTAAAACTGTTTAATAGATTATTAAATATAATTAGTTAGATTTTTTTCATAATTTCCAACTGGTTTTAGTTTGTGGCTTTCATTACTTTTGTAGGCAATTTTAGTTTTCCCCACATGCTCTATTGGTTATCCTTTTGATAGAGATGTGAGAGAATATGTTAATTAATTAAGCGAACAATATGAATCTTTCATCTTTTTTTTCTTCTGTTGTTGCTTTCATTTTTTCAATTCTTTCCGCTTGCTTGTTTTTTTTTTCTTTTTGCCCACTTTATTCCAAAGATAAAGGTCTCATGTTTTAGTTAGATGTTTTTATCTTGATTTGCTTTTATAATAATTCTTGGACTGGTTTATGCACGAAAATGCCAATACGAATTCAGCTCCTTGTAGTCTGTAAATTTCCATTCGTAAGTTATGATTTATAGTATACTCCAAAGTTAAGTAATTCGTGTGAGGCAGATACATATATAGTAAAATATATCCACAATAATCAGAATCTTTCGTAAAATATGATAAGAATCGAAAAGATTAGGCATATGTTTGCTAAGTATATATATAACTCACGGCTGATGAATCCATTATCACAAGAATCTCACGGTTAGAGCCGGATAGATGAGTTACTTTAGTAGCAACAATTTAAAGATTAGTTGCTATCAAATAGTAGATACTTATGTCATTGCTAAAAGCCTAAAACCAAAGAGAAAAAGAGAGAGAGAGACTTATATCTTACACACATTCAATTCAATGCTTGACATCATGAGAGAATAGAATAAGGGTACATTAATTACGCGACAAATTTAATATGCATGTAGAAATGATGTGATAGTGAGCTCACTACTGCATCCACTATCTCTATGTTTCTTCATTAGTGGCCTCATAAGTCTACCAAAAGAATATACATATATGCTCATAGATTTGCTTTGTATATGTTTAGGAATATCACTCGTTTTTCAACAAGATTTTTCCTGTTTGTGAGTCAAATTACGATTTCTAATCAATGTAGTATATCTTCAAAACTTCGAATGAAATTTGGTTTATATATGTTTGAATACATTACATAATCTCCCATTTCTAAAGGTTGCTTTGATTATTTTCTTTCTTGTATAATTATATTATGTGGTGTTAATCTCAATCTGGATTAAAGGAGAGAATGATTTGATTTTGCGATTTGTTTGAGTTTTACGATTTCAATCAAATATGCATTGTTATTACTATTTTTATTGGATCCAATGAATGTGTTTGGGAATCCATAACAGTCGTGTTATGCCTCATAACAGTGGAGAAAGCAAGATGTTGGGCAAAAGCATTCCCATTGTTATAGCATATATCCTTTCACCTTTCAAGAAAATTAAAGAAATTGAAATGAAAAAAAAAAAGTGAAAGGTTATTTTAACTTATTATAACTTTAAAAGGGAAAGAATGCAATGATGAACATGTGAGTCATGTTATATTCCCAAATCCCACTCTGAATATAATAAAGCCATAATTTAATCAAAAGCTTGTCTCCTTCACTTTCAATTTTGCAATCATCGTCTCATCAATGGCGACGGACACACTAGATATGACCTATATGGTGCATGCGTTACTTGAAAGTTCAAACATACATATGTAAATGTAATATACTCAGCCGTTTATAAAATGTTTTGGGAGAAACCGTGTTGTGATCTTTAGGTGAAGCGGATCAACTGAGTGTAATTTCATATCTTATCAACCATTCAACTTTAACTTTATATTGTTAATAATCTTGAGAAAGAATATGCTTATCTAACAATGGATGTTTGATTTACAAAATAATTATTCTGTCTATGTAGTCTTTTATCCGGTATTTTAATTTTACCTTTTTTAAACAAAACTATATAATTAGTGTAATAGATCATACAGTTACATAGTCATGACCAAATTTTCACTAGATCACTACTAGCTAATATTAACTAACCTTTGTCTAGTCAAACTAAAACGCACTAGGGATTGCTAGTCAGAGACCGAATATGTTAATTATTCCATAGATTATCACTAAACTAATTAATATAAATGTCGACAACTTAGATTAATTATGTCTACAAGAAAAAAGGAGATTAATACATGTGTCGTAAGGGGATGCTATGGCTCTTGAAGTCAAAAATTCGTCTACACTCATTCTCTAAATCTAGTGGTGAGAGGGAATGCAAGAAAAGACTTAAAAGTTAGAGTGTGTCACTATCAACTAACGTTGTCTTCTTGTTTTCCTGTGAATTTTTACGCTAAAATACATTATTTTTGCCACTACCACTAATTAGATTCACTTACATTACTTCAATTTTGAAACACTGACAATTATTCAAAACCAGCTCATTTCATCGCAACGTAAATAATAAACACACTCAAATGTAGAAAACGTCGAAAATATATATATACTGAAAACTAGTTTAAAGGAAGCCCCATAGTGCATGGGACTATACATCTAGCCAAGTGAACGGCTCTTCAAGCCGGAACATCACATCATCTCCATAAAATTGCCACGTCGACGTACTATCATAGTAACGAAACGCATCGTTTCGGTTTATAAGCCCTTCGGTGAAAAGATCCGGCAAATCAAACACCGTCTCTTCGTTGCTCTCCTTGTCCGTACTCGAAGTCTCGGACGTGTCCGAAGAAAAGACAAAACTGCTGGAAGTCGAAGACTGAGCCGTAGACAACTCAGAATGGCTTAGCTCCTCGGTTAATTTCTCATGGACAACCGGTTCTTGCCACGTGGCTTCCGCGGCTTTAGCAGCTGCGGCTTGTATATCCTTGGGAGAGCAGCTAACCGGACGAGGAAGCAAACCGGATAATTCAGGGAAATTGAGATAACCGGAGTTGCCTTTAATAGCTAAAGCCGCTACGTCATGAGCTCGAGCTGCCATCTCAGCCGTTGGATAAGTTCCAAGCCATATTCTTGACTTCTTCTTTGGCTCTCTAATCTCCGACACCCATTTTCCCCAGCTCCTCTTCCTTACTCCTCTATACGACGTAGGAGTCTCGTTACCATCTCCAACGTTGCTCTTCCGCCGTTTTAGGACAGGTTCGTTGTCTTGCACTAACGATTTTTTGGAGGAAGACCAAGATTCCGAAGAAGTGGAGGTTGTTACAACGGAAGCATTATTGTCTTGATGATGAGTAGCAATAGCATTAGTCTCTATGTTGATTTGTTTTTCCATTTGAGAGAAAGAGAGATAAAGCTATAGGTTGCAACCTTAAGTGGGCTGCTATTAATATTCTTCCAAGTTATTTTATAAGGTCCTTGTTTCGTATTATAAAGAAAGAAACATGACAAAGCACATATATATTTATTATTTCGTTAGTACTGGGTCCGGATGGCCAATCTACTGTCCACCATTTACTGCGAATAACTTATAACCCATGTGAAATTTAATGGAAATAACATGTAGCAAAATCATATTCTTTATATGCCAGAAGAAAAGAAAAAAACCTAAAATCGAATAATATCTAGACGGCATTCATTGAAATGTTTCTCGTCTTATATATGGACCGACCATCGTGCATGTGCGTCACCTTAACAACCCATGACTTTGTCTTTGAATTGTGTGACGTCATAATTACCAATAAATAGCAGCACAATGTGCAGTGTCTACTTTTATTTTCTTCACTATAGATTTGTATATAGTACGTAAGAAAAATTACTATAGTATATAAAAGTTTGATGTCCCCACCCACTTTGCTTTACAAGGAATTGACGTAGGTACGAATTAACTTGGACGTTGGTAATACACAATATTCAATTTAGTAAAAACAGTCCAAACCACGAGAATCACGTTATCAACCGACCCCTTTCAGTCTCTCACCCATGCTCGATTTTTATTAATATTGTTTTGAGAAAGGGTTTAACTTTGTTATTTTCATATTTTCACAGCCAATTATTAAATATATTAATATTGTTTCTATCTTTTGTAAAATTAGTTAGTATTGTACTATTATTACTATAAGATGTTTGTAGGCTTGTAGCGTTATCTTTTGGATCTAAAGCTCTAGAATGTATTTTTGGTAAATTAAACTGGCTATAATTTAAATTTTCATTAATACGCTTAACTCCGGAAATTTGTAAATATAAAGTTACGTAAATGATGTATATATGAGTATTTCTTACAAGTTACATCTATTGCCACTATAACTAATAAACACTTTAATTTGCTAATGATAAATTAAAATTACTAACAAAATACAGCTTTTACCAAAACCAAAACATTAAAACCAGCTTTGCAAATGAAATCATTATGGTATTCCATGATTATTATTAGTTTAATTTCCTGGCTTTAAATATTAAAACAGGTACAACACATTTATCTTGCCTTTTATGTTGTTGCTGCAGAATGAAGAACCTTGAGTATTCAAGTGTCAACTTTTTATTGATATAATATGTATATAGTCTTACAATGATGAATATTCATTCCAAAGAAAAGTAAGACTGTGATTGACAACAAAACGACTGTCATTAACAAGGAAAACATGTGTTTAAAACACATGCGATATACTTATATTTCAGCTGTCCAGTAAAGAAAAAGCCACAAAAGCTGTGAATTACTCTAATTGAAAAATAAACAACCAGAAATCTACAATTATAGTTTTTTGTTACAAAAATCTACAATTGTAGTTGTCAACAACAAGATTATAACCTAGATTATGAGGTTAGAAAATATGTTTTAGGTAATAACAAAAAGCCAAGATCCAACATAGTATTTTAGGGGAAAAAATACACATGTACAACTAAAAATACAATTCAATTAGAGAGAAACTTCGTCGTCCAAGCGACGCCGGAAGATGAGGTACAGTTAGGAGATGATTATGATTACAATCATAACATGACATGTAACCACACACGCATACATGAATCCATTTAGATACATGTATCAATTTCTAAAATTTAAAACAATCCTCACCAGAATTGGTCGAACCTAGCATTTTTTCTGGGCCATACCAAATATTTCCCTAGGCCCGACCTAATATTTCTCTTTAATTATATTGTAGTGAGTAGTGACACCATTATTCAATTGCGATGGCTCAGTTTTTTTTCTTAAACAAAAATCTTTCAAATTAAATACTAACAATGCTTCTTCATTGAAGGGTTAAGAGTGTGCCGATGAGGTCAGTTTAGAAGCTAAGAGCATCTCCAATGTATTACTTCATTTTCTACTCTAAAATGGAGTAACTCCAAAATGCAGTTGAGATTTATTCCAATGTATTACACTAACGTCACCTTAATATAGCCTCACAAATTCAACAAAACTCCTTTCAAGTGATGTGAGTGCTTTGCACATCTCTTTATTTTTTTTCCACAACCAATTTAATTGCCAATCACGATTTAATAAAAAAAAAAAGCTAAAACTAAAATCCAAAGTTTTGAAAAGAAATATTTTGGCTCTAAAAATCAATTTTCCTACATCTTTATATTCAATTCTAACACATTTTGAACTTAATTTGTAAAGCCAAAAAAAAAAAAAAACTAAAGCGACAACTTATACCAATCCTTTATTGTGCTTTCTTCAACTTGTCATATAATAAACTTTATTGTTCACTTTTTTAATCATTAAGCTATAAGTTGAAACCAAAACAATATAAATAATTTCTGGAAAAAGTTTTGAACAAGCTCTCGTGGCCATAGTCGATACATCTCTTTCTCTTTAGAAACAACTTGGAAGGTACAATCATAACCTTACTTCCTCCTACTAGTCAACTGTATTTATTGCCATAGGATACTGCAAACGAAAGAAGAAAGGCATAGATTACTGGATTTCACTAGAAAAAGGCCTGTTGGGCCTAAAAGCCCACACTTAAGCCCACTAAGCCCACAACGATCGTACACAAGACAGAACTAATCTCGAAATCGGATTTCATTTTTACTCATTTCACCGTGTCCGACGGAAATGGAGGAACAGAACGACGCCGTTAGTTTGTTCGACGGATCTGCTCACTGGTGGTGGGCGATGGGAAGCGGAGCTCAGATCATGTGGGGAGTGAGATGTATTCGGAGAGGTTACGCCGGCGACTGCCGTTTAATGCCGGTCAAAGCCTTCGGAATCGCATCGCTCTTCGTCGGCGCGTTAGCCACAAGCTCCGTCGCGTTTCTCAGCGCGTCAGGGATCCACACGGTAAGTACTCAGTTTTAAATCATTCACTTCTCGTGATTGGTCGAAATTGATGTTTCGGACATAACACAGGTCCAAGATGCGATTGTCATGGGAGCTAACATTAGAACGAATCTTGGAATCACTCCTCAGATACCTGATAAGCAGATCACTGGTACGACGTCGTTTAGGGGTTTATTTAGTACAAAACTCGAGAAAAGATTGTCTTGTCTCTTGATGATGTTCTGTTTTTTTTTTTTTAAATGTAGAGGCGGATGATGCATCGTGAAAGAATGTGGAGTTTGGTTTATCTTATAGAAGACGAATCAAGGAACAGATTCAAGACATGATACGCGCTTCATGCAAACGACTTTGTTAGTTGCTGTAAGCCATTCGGCGAACTGTGTGTGTCTATGTCTGAAATTGCAGTAAAGTGTTGTCTTATTTTTTGTGGAAGTGGAGAGATGTCATAAGTTAGCTAACAGAGGTTGTAAGTTCTGTCCTAGTTCAGAGATTTTAGCAGCAACCAGAGATATTAGGACGACTTTTTATTTCATCACAAAGCTTATCATAGCGAGTCTTGGCTCGACATATAATACATATCAAAACTATCTTAAAACAGAGCTAGAAATGACAGAAGACTAAATTATTAATCTGCAAGATTATTTAGAAGCACGTGGATACGCTCTGCATAACCTGAATGATGGAAGCCACTGTTTGGACAAGGTTCATGAGACCAGTAGAAATGTAGCTGCGATGGAAGCTGTCCCTGTCCGCAAGTTACCGATATACACTCGCACAGTGAGGAAGGCATAGTGATAGTTTACTTTGATGTTATATGATATCAGAATAGTATGAACCAGCCTCAAAGATGCCCAGCCCCAGCTGGTTCTCACAGCAATCAGCATCCAACGCAACTAAACCGGGTTGCCCAATCCAGTTCTTAATGATCCCTTTCCAAACCAAAACCATTACAAGTCATTCATTACACATAATCTCTTGGATCTAGCTCATATTAAATTTTAATTATAAATAATAACTTTTATGATTATCTATTTTCATAATTTTATGTCAATAATTTTGGTAAATATAACAAATTATTTAAATCTTCATAATTTATTAGGTGCATTGGTAATTGATAGTGTTTTTAATGATTTTTACCATCTCAAGTTATGTTAAATAAACTAATTTGTTGCTCGGTTTGAAATATTTTTTCTTTTCACTCGAATTCCATGATATATTATTTTATGACAACTCATTCAGTAACAAAAAGTAAACAAAGTTTGCATGAGATGTGCATGCAATCATTTTTACCATGCGGTAGGTAAATTCACAGTATCTAAAATAACGGGGCCTTACACGGGCTCACTAATCTGGGCTTCGTCTGGGCTAATAATCCATAAACAATACGATAAACATTTTGGTAACTAATAGAAACTTGGAGAGTGGGGGTACTGAGAAAGTGGGAGACATAGAGGGATAATGGGAGATAACTGCTTCTAACCGTCACTACAAAAGCCAAAAGAAACTTCCTAAAACATGTTTGTGTAAACAGAGAGAAAGAACGATCACCAAAAGATGAAGAAAACGGAAGCGGGGAAGAAGGAAGATATCAAGAAAGGTCCATGGAAAGCCGAAGAAGACGAAGTACTCATCAACCATGTCAAGCGTTACGGTCCTCGTGACTGGAGCTCCATTCGATCCAAAGGTCTTCTTCATCGCACCGGAAAGTCATGCCGTCTCCGTTGGGTCAACAAACTCCGTCCCAATCTCAAAAAGTAACAAAACTCTCTTCCCCCCTCTCGTCTTCTTATACAATATTGGCTTTGCTTGCTTAACAAGTTAGGTTTTTTTTCTTTTTTTCTTAAGTGGGTGTAAGTTCTCTGCTGAGGAAGAGAAGACAGTGATTGATTTACAGTCACAGTTTGGTAACAAATGGGCGAGAATCGCTACGTATCTCCCGGGAAGAACTGATAACGACGTGAAGAACTTCTGGAGTAGCAGACTAAAGAGACTCGCTAGGATTCTCCATAACTCTTCTGACGCATCGAGTTCTAGTTGCTTAAATCCAAAACCTAAGAAGGGCAAAAACGTCAAACAGAGTTTTGGTTTAGTTGAGGAAGAGAGTAAAGCTTCTTCTTCTTCTTGTTCCAAGACTCTTCCTTACTCATCAGACCAAGTTGATGAAGAAGCCTTGATAAGGTCACCTGAACTAGGTATTAAGTTAGAGCATCATCAGCCTTTTACATTTGGGACTGATCTCGACGACCCTAATTTTTTCTACGATATACTTGGTGGACCGGTTGATTCTTCTGACCCTTTGTTCGCTCTTCCTCAGCCGTTTTTTGAGCCCTCTCCGAGAAGATTCAGACATGTTTTGAAGGATGATGATGAAGGGTCTGATGTTTTCTTACACGATTTCCCTGCCGACATGTTTGATCAAGTTGATGATCAAACTAGGAGTCCTTAGATTGTTGTTGGTTCTTGTTTTGTATTAGACTGTTTCCATGTGTGTGTTTAGGTCTAATCTGACTCTGACTTTAACTAGCTTTGTTTCCTACGCAAGCAACAATCTAACTACATTATTATGTAATGACACAACTCTTTGTTTCTCTGTTTTATGTGAAAGTTTGTGTTTTTATTTTGGCAGAAATGTAAAATCTTGTCTGATTGAGTGATAAATTTGAAACCATGAATCACAGTTCATACAAAAGCAGTACAAATACAACCATGAATATTTTCTTGCTTATGAAAAAAAAAAAAATGTGTTTTCTATTAGACTGTTTCCATGTGTGTGTTTAGGTCTAATCTAACTCAGACTTTAACTAGGATTGTTTGTACCGTAAGCAACAATCTAACTAAATTGTTATGTAATGACAACTCTTGTCTCTCTGTTTAATGAGAAAGTAATTTTTTTTTTAATGGTTTCATACAATAAGCAGTTCAAATACAACCAGAAGAACACAGAGGAACTGTGGCTAAACCGGTGATCTGTTTATAACAGGATCATGACTAAACCTGATTCCAGTTTGACTTACCTCATACTCCCCAGTTTCAACATCCCCGTCTTTATTTGAGACTTCTCTTTTCAGTTCAACATAAGCACAATAATCTACTTCGTGGACGGTTGTATCTTTATGGAAGGTCAAGAATGTTGTTTCCAATCCTTCCCCTAAGAAAATTCCATCAAAGAGGCTTAGAGAGATAAAACAAGTTGGTTAGAACACAAGTAAAAAAGGTCATGAACTCACTTACCGTGGGTGATTAAGAGCAAGTTCTCTGTAGGATACTTATCGGCAAGAGTGTTTACAACTTTAACGTATCTCTCTCTGCAACTTTCCACAGTCTCTTCCCATTTTGGCATCTGAACAGAAGGAACAAAAGGGTTAATATCAACTTAAAACTAAATATATAAAAGATAAATCCAAGTTTCTATTTATAGGAAGCATTGCCTCTTTATAAATTGGATCCACATTATGATCCACTACTCCTTCAGGAAACAGAGCTTCAAGATCCGAAATATTGAAGTAAAAGTTTCCATCCGTAGGAGAAACCTCAGGGCATATAGCCACCGAGTTCATCATCTCACTCAAGCCGTATTCAATAGCAACCTGCAGAATAAGGTAAAGAAGTAAGCATAACAAAAGGTTATTAGTTCATGGAAATGACCATGGCTATTGTGTGACACAATTTGTGTCAGAGGTTTTCAGTTCAAATAACCACTTGAACAAAAAGTAATATTATATGTTGTGGTTTCGGATTTACTGGGGGATTAAGGGCTTCGGCCCCAAACCTCTTGGTTATAAAAAAAATTAGTATTATATGTTGTGGTTTCGGGTCTACAGTCTACTAGGGGATTAAGGGCTTCGGTCCTGAACCTCTTGGTTATAAAAAAAATTAGTATTATATGTTGCGGTTTCGGGTCTACTAGGGGATTAAGGGCTTCGGCCCCGAACCTCTTGGTTATAAAAAAACAAACATATTAGCTGAGTTTAAGCAATAAGCCAGATGATCTGACCTTGACTAGCTTTGGTTTATCAATGGAAGGGAGGTCTCTAGGGACGGAGAGGGAGAGAGCTGCCACGACTTTGGAAGCTGTCTGAATACATCTGAGGAAAGGAGAAACGAAGACGCGGTGAATGGGAAACCCGGTCTCAAATAGGATCCTTTGACAGGTTCTAAACGATCGAACCATGCCGTTTAGAGAGAGAGGAGGATCCCAAGGTCTTGCAGCTGTTGCTGCCCAAAGTGGGTCGAAGTTGTCGAGTGTTTCTCCGTGACGCATCACAAAGACGTGTTGGTACCTATCCATTGTTCTGCTTACGACAGGATCATGACTAAACCTGATTCCACTTTGACTAACCTCGTACTCCCCAGTTTTAACAACATCCCCATCTTTACTAGAGACCTCTCTTCTCAATTCAACATAAGCACAATAGTCTACTTCGTGGATGGTTGTATCTTTATAGAAGGTGAAGAAAGTTGTTTCCAATCCTTCCCCTAAAAAATATCCATCAAATAGAGTGAGGAAACAAGTTAAAACACAAGTGAAAGAGTTAGGGAACTTGATTACCGTGGGTGATTATGAGCAAATTCTCTGTAGGATACTTATCGACAAGAGTATTTACAACTTTAACATATCTTTCTCTACATTTTTCCACAGACTCTTCCCATTCTGGCACCTGAACCGAAGGAACATAAGAGTTTGTTATTCTTTTACCAACCGCTTGTGTTACACAACGATCACAGTATGTTTACACATTTCAGGTTTATTTTAGATAGTTCCGACTTTATTTAATTTGTCTGAAAATACTTTGATATTAATGTTTACAATAAATAATTGACTTTTATATAGAGTTCGAATCATTACAAATATAAAAGATACAACTCTTCATACTAAAAGACACGATATGAAGAGTTACAATTCTTTCTTGTGTAATAACTAACTAATGTAAATGTATTAATATCAACTTCATACTAAATATGAACAGGTACAAAAGTGGAAAGTTTCATCTATAGGAAGACGTACCTCTTTATAAATGGGATCAACATCATGATCCAACATTCCCTCAGGAAACATAGCTTCAAGATCCGAAATATTGAAGTCAAATTTTCCATCTTTAGGGTAAGCTTCAGGCCATATTGCCACCGAGTTCATCATCTCACACAAGCCGTATTCAATAGCAACCTGTATATAATAAGATATTAAGCAACTATAACAAACATCTCAGCTGAGTTTAACAATAAGCAGATGATCTAACCACCTTGAGCTTAGACTTATCAATAGAAGAGATGGTGTTGGGGGCGGAAGAGAGAGCTGCCACGACTTGGGAAGCTGTCTGAATACATCTGAGGAAAGGTGAGACAAAGATGCGGTGGATAGAAAACCCGGTCTGAGTTCCTATCCTTTGACCGGTTTTAAATGCTCGAACCATGCCGTTTTGAGAGATAGGAGTATCCCAAGGTCTGGCAGCAGTTTCTGACCAACGTGGGTCGAAATTGTCGAATCTGTCTCCATGACGCATCACAAAGACATGTTGGTACCTATCCATTCTTTTCTATGTGGTCTTAGCCAAGTAGATATGGGAGGTCCTATTTATATACTATATATCCAATGAGATTTTGAATCTTGACTTTTGGATTGTTTGTGCAACAAAGTCTTGAAGGAAAGTCTCTTGTTAAATGGAACGTTGGTTTCTTAATAGGAAACTGCGAGGAAATGAGCATGATGCCACTATAAGAAATTACGAGGTACTGATCCATTAGTACACAGGAAGTTATTATTACTATTTTTTTGTGTTTGTCCGAGTCATTGAAATTACTAGGAAGTTTTTACATTTATGTAATCCAGCACACTATAAGAAACCACCAAGCATCAACCGACTAATTGACACTGGCTTTTATCGAGGAAAGAGTACTACCGTCTAATGGAATTATAATCTTTATAAAATGTGATAAAGGGATGAGAAAGCAAGTGGAGGTGATGAACTGAGTGACAAAAGCAAGGCAATGCTATAATATTTAACCACTAAAGTCCATATCATATTCTTTATTTACTCTATCCGAGTTTGAACTTTGAAACATAAGAATTTGTAGAAATGCAATACATATATGCCCAATTAGGCATGGAAAAAAAAACCGGAACCGAACCAAATTATAAAACTGGAACTAAACCGAAATTCTTAAATACTCTAACGGTTCTTATATTTATATATCCGAAATAACCGGAACCGAACGGATACCCGAATATATAACAATATTAATTTTATATACATATAACATAATCGAATATATGATTTTAATTTAAAAATCTGTTAGAAATATCCAAAAATAGTTGAAAATAACTAAATAATTATAAAATATCCAAACTACATGAAAGTGTACGGATAATTTTCTCAAAATATCCAAAGTAATCCAAAATATCTGAAATTTGTATCTAAATCGTTCTAATTAATATTTGATATTTATCCTAAATAACTGATAATTTATCCGAACCGGAACTAAATAAGAACCAAATTTTCTAGGTATTTTATGATTCCTAGTTTTATTATCCGAACCGAACTGAACCTGAAACTATCCGAACCAAACCTGAAACTGGTATTTATTTTCTACGATATACTTGGTGGACCGGCTGATTCTTCTGATCCCTTGTTCGCTCTTCCTCAGCCATTTTTGAGCCCTCTCCGGAGCTTCCAAGAAGATTCAGACATGTTTTGAAGGGTGATGATGAAGAATCTGATGTTTTCTTACATGATTTCCCTGCCGACATGTTTGATCAAGTTGATGATCAAACTAGGAGTCCTTAGATTGTGCTTCAAGGTGGTTGTTGTTGGTTCTTGTTTTGTATTAGACTGTTTTCATGTGTGTGTTTAGGTCTAATCTGACTCAGACTTTAACTAGCTTTGTTTCCTACGCGAGCAACAATCTAACTACATTATTATGTAATGACAACTTTTTTATTTGGGCAGAAATGTAAAATCTTGTTTGATTGAGTGATAAATTTGAAACCATGAATCATAGTTCATACAAAAGCAGTACAAATACAACCATGAATATTTTCTTGCTTATGAAAAAAAAATTGTGTTTTGTATTAGACTGTTTCCATGTGTGTGTTTAGGTCTAATCTGACTCAGACTTTAACTAGTTTTGTTTCCTACGCAAACAACAATCTAACTACATTTATGTAATGACAACTCTTGTTTATTTGTCTAATGAGAAAGTTGTGTTTTAATTTTGGCAGAATGTAAAATCTGGTTTGACTGAGTGATAAATTTGAAACCATGAATCATAGTTCATCAAAAGCAGTACAAATATAACCATGAATATTTTATTTTATTGCTCATGAAAAAAAAAATTGTGTTTTCTATTTTGACTGTTTCCATGTGTGTGTTTAGGTCTAATCTAACTTTAACTAGGATTGTTTGTAACGCAAGCAATAATCTAACTAAATTGTTATGTACTGACAACTTTTGTGTCTCTATTTAATGTGAAAGTAATAGAGAAATTCCCTATGATAGATATAAATTTTTTTTATCACAAATATAGAATTTAATAATAAAATGATCAAAACAGACTTGAATGTTTTATAATAAATAAATAAATATACATTTATACCCTCTAAATTAATTAATCCTAGATTATAGGTTAACTAATCCTACATTTATACCTTGTAAACACAATTGGTAGGATTTCCAATTTTAAAAAATACAAAAAAACTTAAAATTTATGTCTGTTTTGATCATTTTAATTTTTAAGGTCAATTTTGTGATAAAAACATTAAAAATTCTATTTGAGAGATTTGATGGCGCAGAAGTGTCAAATCTTATTTAATTGAAGGATAACATTGAACCATGATTAATAGTTCACACAATAAGCAGTTCAAATTCAAACCAAAAGCACAAAACACAGAGGAACTGTGGCTAAACCCGTGTTCTGCTTATGACAGGATCATGACTAAACCTGATTCCAGTTTGACTAACCTCATAGTCCCCAATTTTAACATCCCCATCTTTACTTGATGAGACTTCTCTTTTCAATTCAACATAAGCACAATAGTCTACTTCGTGGATGGTTGCATCTTTATAGAAGTTCAAGAATGTTGTTACCAATCCTTCCCCTAAAAATATTCCATCAAAGGGAGTGAGGAAACAAGTTAAAACAAGTGGCTGAAAACACAAGTAAAAGAGTCATGGGAACTTGATTACCGTGGGTGATTAATAGTAAATTCTCTGTAGGATACTTATCGGCAAGAGTATTTACAACTTTAACATATCTTTTTCTGCATCCTTCCACAGACTCTCCCCATTCTGGCATCTGAACCGAAGGAACAAAAGGGTTAATATCAACTTCATACTAAAATATGAAAAAATACAAAAGTGGAAAGTTTCTATCTATAGGAAGCAAACACCTCTTTATATATAGGATCCACATTATGATCCACCATTCCTTCAGGAAACATAGCTTCAAGTTCCGAAATATCAAAGTCAAATTTTCCATCATTAGGAGAGACATTAGACCATATAGCCACCGAGTTCATCATCTCACACAAGCCGTATTCAATAGTAACCTGTATATAATAAGATATTAAGCACGTATAACAAACATCTCAGCTGAGTTTAACAATAAGCAGATGATCTAACCACCTTGAGCTTAGACTTATCAATTGAAGGGAGGTCTTTGAGGGTGGAGAGAGCTGCCACGACTTGGGAAGCTGTCTGAATACATCTGAGGAAAGGCGAGACGAAGATGCGGTGGATAGAAAACCTCTCGATGCTTTGACCGGTTTTAAACGCTCGAACCATGCCGTTTTGAAAGAGAGGAGGATCCCAAGGTCTGGCAGCTGTTGCTGTCCAAAGTGGGTCGAAGTTGTCGCGTCTGTCTCCATGACGCATCACAAAGACGTGTTGGTAACTATCCATTGTTAGGTTTAGCGTATTACTAGTCTACTCCGTTGCTTCTTTTTTTTTATGTGGTCTTTGCTAGCAGATATGGTATAAGTACTATCTATATATGCACCGAGCTTTCGGTTTCTTAGTTCTTGGATTTTGATTGTATTTGCAAGAAAGTTTTCAAGGAAAGTCTCTTGTAATTGGAACGTTGCTTTCAAAATAGGAAACTGCGAGGAATTGATTCGTTTACCTACTCAAGATTTTTTTTTTTTGTTTTATTCGACTCATTGAAATTACTACGAAGTTTTACATATATGTAATCTAACACTATTAGAAACCACCAACCATCTTATATATTAAAAGAGAAGTCATGACTTCACTTCATGTGTGATATTTTAAAATGGACCATCTAATAGAATTTATGATATTACATTATTCAATCATTAATACCATTCATTAGATTCACTAATAACCTTTATTGGGCTTACTAGAAATTTTTATTGGGCTAATAAAAATTAGATGATCTATTAGATTTATAGATATTATAATAAAATACATGTTTATATTAAACTTATATAATTTAATATTGTAACAGTATAAATTAATTATTTATATATTTTTGATGTTAACTTTAAAAATTATATAGTTTATTTTTAAGAATAACAAAATCATCATTTTAACAATAATTAATATATACTATATAATAATTAATCATCATTTTTGATATACACACCTTATATAATATATACCAATTTAAAAGTAAAAAAAAATGTTTATATAAAAACAAATGAAAACAAATATCCGCGCGGTTGCGCGGGTTGAGATCTAGTACACTGATTAAATTGCATAGCATTATCGTGGAAAGAGTACTACCGTCGGTTAATGGGATTATATGTTATTTATATAAAAAAAATGTCATAAAGGGATGACAAAGCAAGTGGAGGTGATGAACAAGGCTTATTGGTCCTCACAAATATACAATGCAATGTTATGACCCAATTCTATCTTTAATTAAAATGATAAGAACAAAACATTAAATAGATAAATGATCAAGTAGTAATAAAAAAAAACAAATTATGTTGATTATTCTCATTTTATTTTCTATCTTCCCAATTGGTCAACCAATGAAAACCAAAAAAAAACCAGAGTATACTACGGACTAAACTAATTACAAAAGGTCAACAATAACAACAAGTGCATAAACAAAGAAAAAAAAAACCTAAAGGCCGTATCATCACACATCAGTGGCAGCAAGCAAATAAGGCGGCTGGATCAGAGAGCTACTCTGATTCATATATCTGAAGTAAAGTTGGATTCAGTGGCTTTGAAACGTAGAGACAGTATATGTATATCGAGGCACGCCCAAAAATGAAGCTAAGGCTTGAAGAAGCAGAGTCAATTGCATCTCTGCATCATTACAACACACAGAATGAGGACATGAAGGTGAAGGTTGTTTGTTAATCCATTACACTCTAATACTAATCCCTTCTCAAACAAAGTCAGACGCAAATCATTAAGATTGATTATGCAACTTCTACCTGACAAGTTAATCATAAAGAAATATAACTTATTTTATTGGAAACTCTCTAATTCTGATAAACTCAGTAACATATACATAACCAAGGAAGTAAATACAAACAGTAATGAATCACTACTTTTTTAATTCCGTGGAAAAAGCTTATTCAATGCTAATCAGGTTTCAGTTGAAGCCAATCAAACAAGACTAACTTCACATAAACCCTACAAAGATTCAGAAAATACTAAAAACTTCCCATTTACATACTGAAACTTACAGAAAACAGATACATAGGGATTTCAAAAGACACCCAAATAGGATTCATACCTCTTTTAAGCATGTTCTGAGACCTTGTAAGCGTCTGAAGAAACGTTACCCATCCACAAACCTGGAAAAAGAACCTGAAAAACAAAAGAAAAACCATAAAGGTTGTGAACTTTGAGATCCATATGATACAAAAGAAGAGTAAAGACTTTTTACATCGAGCTGCTTCTGCACGTTCTTGGCTCTTTTCTTTGGTCTTCTACTAGGTTTTGATCCGGTCAACGAGTAGATATCCTCATCAATCTCCAACTTTGATAACGAGATTGATAACCTCGGTTTCTTCTCCTTCCTCTCCGTCATAGTCGCAATCTTAGCATCCACACCGTTCCTTGATCGAATAGCCTCCGTTCTAACCGTCCCCTGAGCTTTGCTCTCCGTCAATAACGCTCCACTTCCACCAGAGCTTCCACCGATTGAACGCTTCTTCGTCGGTGGTTTCCTCGGCCTTAGGTTCCAAGTCTTCGGACCAAACTCATCTCCTTCCTGACCACCATCGGAGATCCGTTCACCTATAGACACATCAGCAGCCTCGTTATCATCAGTCTCATGAACATCAGCAACGGCGGTGGAGACTGCAGCGGCGGAGACAGCAACATCAGCTGTTTCTTCGTTGTTCTTCGTGCGGATCCGGATAAAGATCTTCGATCTACCGTCCGCCGCCGTTGACTTAGTCCCGGATCGATCTGCGGCGGAGTCATAAACAACATCCTTCTTCTTATTCTTCTGCTTCTCCGGTCTCAATTCAAAAGAAGAAGAGCCAGATGCTTCGTTCACATCCTCAGTGCCTTTGCCGTGATTAGTAGCTTCACGGAGAGGAGATCTGCCGGATGGTTTCCGGAGCCGATGTGTATTGGCGTGATTCATAGCCCACCTGAGATCAGAAAGAGGGAAGTTATGAAGCGGATGAGACTTCACAGGAGAGGAAGAAGCTGCTGCGATCTGTTGCCTTCTAGAGCTCTCGCTCACGTTCACAACCGTCGGCTGCTGCTGTGGCGGCGGCGGCGTATCAGAGCCATGGACCGGCGGAGTAAACGCTATTGAGTGACGGAACATCTGATCGAAACCCTAATGAGGAAAGAGAGAGAGAGAGAGAGAAATCAAAAACAAATGTGAAGAGAGAGAGAGAGAGAGAGAGAAAAACAGAACATGAAGAGCGGCAGTTATGTTACTGCTAAATCTCCAAACCAAAGTGTTAACAAAAAGGGATAGAAAAGCTTTAATGACTCTTTTACCCTTCATATATCGTTGGATTTACAGCCGCTGCTCCACTAGCTCAAAACGTAAGATGCACGTGACCTGCACGCACAAGGTTGCTTGCTTTACAAGGCTACTTTATAAAACGGGACTTAGTCAAACTTATCAGGACGTAATTAACAAAGAAGCTAAAGATTATTTTCACTCACACATGTGCAATTTAGTCCCACGTTTTCCACCAAAGGTCATTGACACTACTCTCCCGACGCGTACCTGTGAGACACGTGCAAGTTGCATATGATGACGAGAAGCTAGCAACAGTGTACAATGTCTCTCCAAAGCCAATAGTGACAAGTTCTCTGAGAAGAAATTGTACAAAGAAGGGTGTAAACTTTTCACTTTCTATTTCTGAAGAACCCACAAAAGTCAATCCCACAAATTGTCGAGCAAACAAACAAATTAATTTGCAATCTCCACTCAGTATGCTTTGTTACCATTTGGAGGAAGTATAACGTTATAGAATGCAGATATTAGGGTTCTTGGTGTTAAGGTGTCCAGAGACCTCGAAAACCTCTCAAAGAGGAGATTGCTCCTTCTGCTGCAAGATCCAAATGAGTCTTTTGTCAAGTTAGGATACAGTGGATCTGTCTTTTCTGTAGGAGAAACGTTCGAAATAGTGTTTAGGGATTGCTGGATGAATCCCATATAGACGAGCTATGAAAGCCTTTTCGCTGGTGGCTACAATGCTTGCGATAGAATAGTTTCTCTCGCTTAACCCTTTCTCCACGAGCCATTTATGGAATCTGAACCTTGGACTGATTCTGTTCTCCAGGTCAAAACAGAGAAACGCTGGATAAACATCAAGGCATGCCAAAGAATCTCCCATTTCTTCACAAAGGAACCTAATCTTCTCTTGTATACTATGCGGTTTCTGGTTCAAACTCTTTGGTGATGATCTTATCAACATACATGCCTTTGAGAAATCGATACCATTGTCAAGTAGGATTTGGAATCTTTCCTGTATTTCCACGGCGGTACCGTGTACGTGTTGTAGTACCTTCACAGTTATACCGTTTTCGCCAAAACCTATCTGATGAAGGAAATCAAGTTTTTGATAACTATGTGTTTTACACCTTAAGTGCTGAATCTCCTCCAGTCCTTGTTGATATTCTCTGTCTACATCTTCCTCCGGATCAACCAAAGAATAGCTACTGAGTAAATGATAAGTCCCACTCTTCAACTTATTGAATACCCTTTCATGTATACCTAACGCTCTAACCACATGAGGCAAATTCTTCATCTTATTTCTCCCAAAAACGTAAGGATACTTCAAAGCAACATCATCAACTTCATCCTCACTCAACCCCAAATGCATAAGCATCCCCTTAACCGAAATCACAACCTTCTCCAAATCAAAACTCAAAACCTCCGGATTCCGCAGAATCAAAACAGCAGCTTCCTCTCTCCCAACACCAAACCCACAAAAAAACCCACTCATCCTCACCAAATCCTCCTCACAACACTCCATAAAAACTTCCCTATTCCTCCCCATCAACTCCCACATCTCCTCACTCCCAAAACCCATCTCCCAAAACACCCTAACCTTCCTCCCAAACTCATACCAAGCCTCCACACTCTCTTCCACAACAAAACCAAAGTCCTCAAACAACCTCTTCATCTTCCCAAACAACTCCTCCCCACAACCACACAAAACCCTCGGAAACGCCAAACAAACCCCAACAACAGCCACATTACTAAACCCAAACCCACACAACCTCCCCAACCTAAACCCAATCTCCTCCCCACTCACCTCAAAAACAAACCTTTCCTCCTTAAAAACCCTCCCAAGCCTATTCCAAGGAAACCCAAACCCACACAAAACACAAGCCGCCTCCAAAACCCTCGGATCCTCACTAAAAAAGTACTTCCTCTCAGGCAAATAATCCTTAACCTCCCTGACACCAATCCCAATACTCTCGAAGAAGAACTCGAACTCGTTGATGGGGTGATACCTGAGATGCCTCCGGATCGATTTCGGGAACGTCGCCACGGAGAAGTCGAGGCTTAGGATGAGGCTGCGGATCGATGACGTGGCGTTGGAGGAGATGTGTTCGGCGTGGGAGTAGGAGAGGGAGCGGGTCGTGTGGAGGTACTCTGTGACGGCCTTTTGGGTTTCGGTGGTGGCGAGGGATTTGTAGATTGATGGGACTCTTCTTCTGCGTGGTGGGGGTGATGTTGTTGTGAGGGTGCGTGAGGTTGTTAGTGAGGATTTGAATTTGGTTAGGATGAACATTTTTGATTTGGGGATTTAGGGTTTTTTGTTTTTTTTTTTTTTTTTTGTCGCCGGTGGTGTGTGGCTTTTTTTTGTTTTTTATCTGGCGGTGTTCGTCGAGTTTTTACGTTT